GGAGCTTAATCTGCTAGCCAGGGAAGATATATGTGGAAACCATTGAAGTTTACTATCTAAGGTCACTCCCAAGAAGACTGTTTATTAGCAAGGTCTAACTTTTCTCCGTTTATTTCTATGCTTGGACTAGTCGATTTCACGTTATATAATTCAAATTTAACACATTTTGTCTTCTTGGCATTAAGCAATAAATTGTTAGCTTTAAATTTTTAAATTAAACCAATAAACTACCTTAGAGAGGGTATCATTAATATGGTCATAGTTAATGTCATGTCTGTTTTAAAAATCAAGAATGTGTCATCAGCAAACAACACTATTTCGTAATGGTCCTTGACTAAGAATGGCAGATCATTAATATAAATCAGAAATAAGAAAGGTCCAAGTATTGAGCCCTGCAGAACTCCCATTTTTATCGGAGAACCCAAAGATGTCAATCAATTTATGTCTACTTTCTGAATTCTACTGTTGAGATATGACGAGACAAGTTTCGACGCCTTGCCATTTACACCGTAATGTTCCAGCTTCGTAATAAGAGTAATATGATCAACGCAATCAAATGCCTTTGAGAGGTCATATAGAACACCAATAGCGTTCTGAGACCTTTCCCAAGCATGTGTTTTAGTGTTATAGTAACGCTACCCCGCATCGCTAGTCGATCTATCACTAGTAAAACCGTATTGTTCACTATGAAAAATACGTTTCCTATCGAAATATTACAGTAATTGAGTCAGCATAACCTTTTCTAATATTTTACTTAAAGCTGGTAAAATTGAAATGGGCCTATAGTTGCTAGGATCAACTTTCCTACCGCTTTTGAATAAGGGAATAACCTTGCTGCATTTGAATAAATCGGGAAAAACACCTTCGTCAACGCACCTGTTGAAAGGTACAGCTAAATGTGGGGAAATTAGATCAATAACTGAGTCTATAACTTTAGTTGATATGCCCCAGAGATCTTCAGTTTTTTTAACATGTATTGATTTAAAAGCTTTTATGATGTCTTGTGGATTAACATGACGGAAATTAAATTGGGCTACTTTGTCTTTAGAGTTTATAACTTTGCTGTCTAATTCTCAAACTATATCTCTATCGTGTTGTTTAACCCGTTTGACTCTTTATTTATTATGCTCCAAGTAATTTTAGATTTATTTATCTGTTGTCTAATTTTGTCGCTGTGAAACTTAACCTTAGCAGCTACACATACTTTTTTGAATATTTTTGAATAATTTCAAACATATTCTACATATTCGTGTGTCTTTACTTGCAAACATAAAGTTTGTTTTACTTAAATTAGTTTTATATATATTGGAATATAAGTCGTTGTAGACTTAACAAAGGCTACTTTATCATATTGATATTAAAATTTGTTATGCAAAGTGGTTGTTTGGGCGAATTATGCAAGTCAAATTTAATCAAATTTCATGCGACCATTTGTCTGTACTAAGTGCTAGGTTTAAATCGCTCAAAGACTTTGCTTATTGTGATGTATACATATTTTTCTGTACTTTACTTAATTATATAAAACTTTATCATTTATTTATTTTTTATATTTGGTTTTAGCTAATGATGCTAAAGCTACTACTATTACTAACTAAGCTAGCTAATGATGCTAAACTAATTAAAAATATAACATATAAGGAAGAGCTCGTGACATTTTTCAAGAAGAAATGAGCCTAATCCTCCAGACCTCTAGACCACTTTCTTAAAACAACATTTTAGTTAAGAGATGAAAAATTAAGTTTTCCGTGACCATTTCTAGAAGCACTAGAAATATTACGTCTGTTTACTTAATACATATTGAGTTTCAAATTATACACTGGATTGGAAGACCATTTAATTTTATATGGGATAATATTATTTGATCCTCAAAGATATAATTGATCTATTGACAATGTACATTTTTTTAAATAAACGATTTTTTTTATGTTTGATAAGGACTTATATACTGTTCCGTCTATAATAATAATAACGCTCACAATCAACATCTTCTATATTAGTTAGTCTATATTAGTTAATCTACGGATAAATTGTAAATAAACTGAATTCAAAGTTAACACTATCATTATGTTAATATTAATTTATTATCAAATATGAATTTAGTATGCTTGCTAAATGAATATTTCATAATCAAAAATAATATTTGATCCTCTTTTTTCATATAGGTCAAAGCTTGGTTGCGCTCTCCATTCAGTAGGTTGGGTTACTAAATGAAAAAGCAACACGGACCGAGCGAGCGAAAAGAGCGTGTCGCGGCAGCGGCCGGCGAGTGCCAGAAGCAAATTTGCTTACGTTTACGAACATGGTTTCAGGTTTATTAATGCTTATTTGTCTTACTTTTGAGGCTCGACATGAAACTATCAAAGTCAATTTATACAAATCAAACATTAGCTCAGAAGAGATCAAAATATACATTGATTTAATTTATTTTAGGTCTTAGAGAAACAGGATTAATCATTAAAAAAGATGACTGTTTAGATTTATTTGGCTGCTCCTTTTGCTATTTTAAATGATCTTTTTGTATCTTTTGTTTTTAGAACTAGAGCAATTGTTTAGTCCTTGGTATTTTTAAGTGTATAATAATAATAATAATAATAATTTTTGCTTACCTCTCATAGAACAATTGGCAATAGCTCCGCAATCGTAGTTTGTTGCAAACCTCATTTTGTTCATCGCGTTATCTCCAAATGTTACCAGCTGCAATGAAGAAGTCAGTCAAAAGTTTTATAGAAACAACAGAACATATTTATCTACATGTGACCGACTATTTTGGTAGTATAAAAAAATATAAAGAAAAAAAAAACATGTAAAAAAACTGTATTAAATCTACACCAGTAAATTTTTATAGCTCTTTAAATCTTTTCGCCTATCTTAGTTTAATGATAGGTCACGTCATGATAAAAATCAGGATCGTGAATATTACTAAGCCCATTTCATTTTTCACTTTAAGGAACATTTTCTGCTTCCCGATAGATATCGACAAGGGTTCAATACACATTTAAAATGCCCCCTAAGGATTTTACTGCAAGTTGACGTAGAAAGCAATATATTTTATGGTTAGTTCCTGCGCCATAAATAAACCTCTAAGATTTACGAGCAATTATCTTCTGTATCGGCGTAAAAATGACCAAATGAGTTATTATTACAATAATAGTCACTAGTATAAGATGATCTCCACCAGGTTCTATACGAACAAAAAATTAGAGTTACGTGATCGTTTATCAGTGCCATGAGTTTACTGTGACAGTTGTCGCTAGCGACTGCGTAAATTACTACACAATTTTGTATTGTAAATCATACAGCGCCCCTAACGGTTACGAGAAGTAGCATTTTGTATACAAATATTTTACGCTAGCGAGAACTGTCACAGTAAACTCATGCTAGAGGCACTGACCGATTCTTAGCCTTGAGACGTATGTCTCAAGGTGACGGGCGCAGTGGCAGTACTAGATCTAAATCTTTGTGATTTAAAGCACTGAGTGGCACTGCAATTGTCATGGACAGGCGTGTCGCTTACCACCAGGCGCACGACTTGTTCGTCCCATCACTTGGTATTCAAGTAGGATTATAAAAGAATATAATTGTATGTAAGGCTGAAAGGAGAAAACGGAAAAAATATGGATAGAAGTTCAAGAAGAAATCGATGTTACAGAACGAATTCTGAGAACGAGAATGACATCAACGGAATGGAATGGAATGGAAGTATCGGAACAAGGATAAATTGTTTGATCATGAGGTATGAAAAGTAGTAAATGAGAAAAAGAGGGTAAGGACAATTATTTGGCAGGTCTGAAAGACAAGTGAATGTTAAGAAGACACCAGTTATTTATTTGTCAAATGTCTTTTTTCGATCAGGTCGTCGGCAACTCAGCAGCTGGAGATGGTAGCAATTATACGTGAAACGTTTGAAGGAAAAATAATCCAAGTGTACAATTTGAAAGTAATGGTGATCGAAAGGGATGAAGTGCTTACAAAAATCAAAAACACGATTAGACGGAAAATATTTGTGTAGGTACTTGGATAGTATATTACAAGAGATGGTAAAAACATGAGGGTGATATGTAACAAATTGTAATATCTAAGAAAGTATGGTAGTGAATGTTTGGTATGGCGGAAAAATCGCGAAATTAGGGTGAATGACTGTTATGTGTTAACTCTTGATAATGTAGAATCAAGGATAGTGTAATAAGAGAACATTGTGAAACGTGATGTAGTCACTAGGACAGAAAGTGAGTACTTGAAAGTCTTAGCCATAAGAATGGATGTTATTAGAATGAAGACACTTTATACAGCTGATTTGGAGGGAAATATGTGAAAAAGTTAAGTTTGGAGGATGCTTTTCAAGGACTTTTCTTAAAGGATCCCTTTAAAAAAGTCCAAATGAAACCAAAAATAACTGGCTGTTAAAAGACCAATGCTAATGGAGGAAGCGAAATACATATGTCAGGAGCATAACGGATGGAAGTCTATGTAAATCTTTGTCAATCTCAGTAGAAAACAGAGTGTTACATACAAACAAAACAAACTGAATATGAACCAAAACAGGTTTGAAACGCACGATGGTAACCTGCTTTGACTATGTTGGATTAGAATTGTTCTTATAATTAGTTAATTGGGCAATTTACTAAATGATCCTGACAATATAAATGAGTTTTTTAATTAAATGTCGGGGATCGTCAGACAGCGGTCATGTGTAGTAAATGTATACTATTATGCATCTGATGAGGAAGGTTTTTCTGACGAAACAATAACCATTGTGTTGATAATAGAGAACGTAAGTAACGTAATATTTTATATTTGTTGGGAGCAAGGAATTTATTTGATGAGAAGAGAGCAGAAGTGTGGGATTGTGATTGAGTACAAGGAAGGGGGATTTATTGTTACGACGCTATTCAGTGATGTGATAGTAATTACAGAAAATAAACCGTGGCCTGAAATCTTCTAACATTACTGTCGATGTGTTATATTAGATTTATATATTCGACGTGGGCGATCTGGTGGTGACCTTTTTTCATTTTCCACGTATGTATGGGGCAAAGTTGTTGCGAAATGAGGTGAATAGCTTGTCGTGTGCTTTCCACAGTGTCTGACATGATCTGTCCTCTAATAAATTATTTGCTGCATATTAAGACCTGCTGCTGATGCTTAGTATCTTTGGGTATGTAGAAGACAGCATAATAGTGGAGAGCTATGTGTCAGACATCCGTGCTAGCAGCGAAAACATACGTCATAAACGAGAGGTGAAGGATTAAAAGGCGAAGACTAATATTGTCGATAGAGTTACAACAATGGGAGAGGATGTGGGTTATATTTTTCTGTATCCAATGGATTAATAAACATTTTTGACGTAACTTCACCTATGCTATTCTTCCATGAGGGGTGCGATTTGTGTTTTCCGAAAGCTCAATTTGGATCTACTCAAAGCAAGCTTGAATATGCATTTACCAGCAAAACTCATAACATCGTTGGTTACATAGTCGCTTAAAATCAGGTGAAATTGTGACTCAGCGTTCGTCATTTCACATTAAATTAAAAATTGTTGCTATCTATAGTACGATATCTAAATTTCTCTCAATAAATATATACCTCAATTTATACTAATTGCTGAGTCATTGTAAATTGGGATTACACTTCGGAGTAACTTGTGTAAGAAATCGTAAGTCTACACACAACTTCACCGGTCGATGCGGTGATTGGGATATGATTTTTCAACTTACAATGTTGGTTTATACTTTCCTAGCTGACTTCATAACAATATATTTTAAGGAAACTATCATTGAACTACGATAGACAACAACTAAAACTAAAAGCACAAACTGTTGAAATTCTTCATGGAAAATACACGTTTAGGTCACTGTACCTTGTTAACATTTTAAGTCAAAAGTAGATGGTGCGTAGAGCGTATTAAAAATTTATTCCCTTATACTAAACCTTACCCGAATCCACTGTTCAGTCTCCAACAAAGTATCACCAGGTTGCAATAGTAGCTTAACTTTTCTTCTTAATACATCATCTTCTGAAGCAAACGTGTGATCTGTTAGGGCACTCCTTACGTCTGTAGTTTGTAACCGAACGAATATGCCAAATGCTTTATCTCGTTCCAGCTGCAGAACATACATTTTAATTAGCATTCTAATATTATCAATTTTCTTTAGCAGTATTGTTAAGTAGGTGCTTAAAAACAATTACACAACATAAATAAAAGTCTACCTATAAATACGCAAAAGTTCAGTGTGATGAATTCAAAATATTGTTAAATTTGGATAAGTACCATGTCAGTTGATCAGTGTTGTACTATTGCTCATGTCATTAGTATGACTTGTTGAACGAGAATTGACCCCAAATAAATGCCCCATACGGGGTTGGGTAATAGAAATACACATGTACTTATCTAGATCAAAAGTAAAAAACATCTGCTAATCTATTAAACATTGTAGTTAAACCACCGAACAATATATCACAGAGAGTGTGCGATAGCATTATACGATTTAATTCCGCCTTTCCCTTTCCATCACCTGGGGAATAGACGTAGGCTGGGGTTCCACCCCTATGTGGTGGATATTCCAAAGATTCGCAACGCTTCCACACTTATATGGCGAACGGCTATGGAGTGGAATCCCCTGCCTGCAGACATGTTCGCTGAACGTTATAACTTGGACCTTTTCAAGGCGAGAGTGAATAAGCGTATTTGGGTATGCATACTCCATCGTCGACCCCATAGTCACTTTCCATCAGGTGAGATGGAGGTCTTATTTTTCGCACATATTTTTGAAAAAAATTCCAAAGTTTGTTATTTCCTTTTTTAAATTAACTTACAAAATATACGACAAATCATTCATCATCATAATGTTCGATCTTTGAACATAATAATTATAATAAAGTAGCGCAGTAATTTCACAAAAACAAATTAATATCATGGTAGTAAAACATCACAATATTCATGACAATTAATATTACAATAAATTCTTAATTTCTAGACTAGCAGTCTTCTTTCATGTGTCTAGTATGCGTTTCTCACGTCTGCTAGAGATTACCCTTGATGTCGAACGTGCGTCATTAACATTAGAATGCGAGACGAGTACGCGTAATAGATTCAACGAGTTGCCAACGCTGAAAATAGGGCAATGAAGTCTACCATTCCTCTTTGCGTACGACACAGTAAACATTATAGAAACATTCAGCCGTTGGATCCACTATTACGTCTTTATCATTAAAATGGTTTCTAACAAAATCGAAAGACATAGTAATAATAATAAAATCGTTTATTTATTTCAACACTTCAATATATAAATAAACTACTTTACACAGAATTTAGTAACAGATAATATTTGTGGGAAATAAAAAGGATTGTAGCTCAGGACAATGGCGGACTATTTCTCAGCACTGCTGATCTTCTGTTACAGCCTGCCTTGTTCAAAAAAAGAGGAACTAACACACATATATTTATTCCAATTCAAAAATTTCCAGCAGATTATTAAATACTTAGCACATCATAAATCAGTATATCATCATTACACACAGCACTATGTACTCACACACAGCTACACTACAATGCCACCTGCAAGGTTTGCCTAAACAATATCCAGGTATAACATTCTTATGGACAGTGCGCAATGAGAAAGTGTGAAAAATACATAGGTTAAAAATAAATTGAAGAAAACAAAGCTACTTCCTTCAAGATTTAAAATTTCAAATTAACTTTGGTATAAAAGTTAGTAGGTTCCCAGTTTTTACATTTCATTACAGACTTTGATTACATTTTTTTTCTTAGCATTGCCTTACTTCACCTTAGAATCATCGTTTTTTAAGATAACGTCGACAGATAATTGTAATTATATTTTTAATAATTATGAAATCATTATACACCTAGCGTGCGTGTTCAAAAAGTCGGTCCAAGAAACAAAAACTTCTAGATAATTACGTAGAAGTACCTATGTACATTAATAAACACTACTGTGTCACAAGAGGTGAATATAATTAGTAAAAGTGCATTGATGATACAGTGAGTCAGGTATTACTTTATAAAAATGAGCAAAAAGAAAACCCATTTGCACCAATTAAACTTTCCAGTCCAATCTATAAATATATCTACGAATATATGGCCCATAAAATCGAGCATGTGGCAAACGTTCATTCCCTTTCATCCTGAGACTTCGACAGCGATATTAGTAAACATTTTTTTAGCTCCCCATGTTTACATGGTCTCACTTGTTTATCTGCGACAAAGAGAATTGTTTGTGTGCCCTTGACAAAGTGATGTTACGTAGTAAATATTGGTATATCTTAGATATGTAAATGTGAAATCGATAATGTTTGATGGGTATTCTTAAGTATGTCAATAAAATCCGGCATTGAAATTTAATTTAATAATACTTTTGGACATTCACGATATAATTTTTTTTGTCGAATTACTCCACTAGATTGGTTTGAACACAAAGAAATTTCTTCGATCTGACAGGACTCGAACCTGCATCTGTCTTATACCAAAGCGACTGCTCTGTAACAACTGAGCTGCACACCATACGAATTTTTCTATGCCTTTGTTACAAATCTTTTTGTCTCTGATGTTAACGGTGTAACGGCCCTGATATGGCACAGACGCATTTTACATTTAAAAATAACATATCGAAGGATTTTTTCTTTGTGTTCGATCTTTGTATTAATAATTACATTTAATTAGTGAAAAAACACGCTAGTTCATTTACCTGAAAATTAATACATCATACCGTACAAAAGATCCAAGAAATTCACCACAAAAATCAACCAAAAATCTTAAATCTACTGTAGTATTTTCAAATTATTTTGTACTCACTTTAGTTGCCAATCCTTTATAAACACCAGTAAGCTCTTCCCACATCGCAGTAGCTCGTTGTTCGCAATGATCCTCATAGTCTAGCTCCACCAAGTCTACCAGCGAGACAAACCATCGTCTGTCATCGCCACTACTGGCACTACCACTACCACTGGAGAACAGTATATGGCAGTATACGGCGAGCAGAGTTAATGTTATCCTCATTGTTGATCTGTGAAAGAAAGAAAAATATGATAAGTCTTCAAGGTGAAGTGAGACTCAATGTCGACATTTTGACGTATTTCGAGAAACGGCTTTTCGACGTTACAAATTCAACTTGTCTTTTCAATTGATAATGAAAAACGCCCGAAACACGATTGACTATACACTACGCTCGATAAAAAAAACACAAAATTTGGCAAAATTTTCATTTACTTTCATATTCGGAATAATCTCGGTATAGAGATCTAAAAAAAACGACCTCACAAGTTCGTAGAATTACATCTATGTGCCAAGTTTTATTGAAATCGGTTACCCGAAAGTGCGCGAAACCAGATTCATCCCTTAGTTCGCCACCCTTTAAATGGAACAAATGTTGAGGTACCCTCTTTCCAACAAAAAGGAATCATCAAAATCGATTCACAAATGCCGCCTATGTACGTACGTAAATATCGCGTAACATACACACAAAACAATCAGTTTCATTCGATTGTTATTAAAAATACTTGAATGAAATTTTCTCTTCCTTGTTCCGTAATAAGTACGCCAGGGGACTATGAGCTTATTTTACAGTAAGAGCATATATTTTATTTCTAAAAGGCAAATGTTTAAATATCGTAAAATGAATTCCTTCGCGTCTACCTCACCCGCTTCAAAACTTACTCGACCACAATGCCATTTCGCCTTAAAACTTATTCGAAAGAAAATTACAAAGATTTCGACAATTTATCTATAGGTCCAAAATTTGAAATTTTAGGTTTAATCCTTAAAAGTAATGGATTCTATAGAAATCGGGTACAATTCCCGGTCGTTCGAATGAGATATAAGCTCAAAAAGTACTTTCAACTGAGAAAATCTTTAGCACCGGAAACCTTTCTTTAATTTTCTTGAGATCTAGATTTCAAATTGTTGTACTCTTTCACAAAACTATTTCGCATTTTCACAAGATTTAATTTTAATATCGTTATTCCGAAGCAACCGAAAGATGGCTCTTTCAGAAAATACATTAATTTTCTTTTATTGCCGTGGTTATTTAAAAAAAACTAAATAGTGAAAAGAAAAGCTACATTTCGCATTTCGTAACGGATGGAAATTTTCACTTCTTAGTAGACTTTATTTATGAATAAAGGTGACTTTATTGGTGAAGAAAAGTGGCTTTTATTTACTAAGGAAAATTTAATTATGTAAAATAATTTACTAAACTTCTTAGAACGTCACGAATTGAGTTGGAGCTGTCAAGTTTTCCATTTCATTTGCATTGAACGATAATTCGTTCCAATGAGAAAATTGAATTAATAGAATCAAATGCGGACAAAACCTTACGAAAATAAATATCGATCACAAAGTTACTCCTTGTCATAATATTTAAATTTGATCTTATTTTATTGTATAGCAAAACTTCCAATTAACCTTTATAATATATGTATATGTAACCGTATAAATCTTAACAGCATTTTATATCGAGCTCGTAAGTTTTCACGATTGTTACACATAGGAAATGAAACCATTCACACAGTCAACCGTGGTCACGGGACCTGTAAAGGGCCCCAAAACGTCAGTTTGTTTGAAAAAACAAATAGACGCGATTTTAATCCGGAAAAATAGAACTTTACATGTTAATGTAATTCACTTGAAGTCAAGCTAAGTAGGGCAGCAAACACAGCGCAATAACTGTTGGCCACAATCATTTTAAGTTTTCCGTTATAAAATATATCAATAACAAAATCAAATAAATAAAAAACAACAAAGTAGATAAAATTCTAGAAAATGACACTTATTCGTTGACCTACCAATAAATGGACGTCGGGTGCGCGCTAAAAAGTGTCCGCACCTGTAGGGCGTTAAAATCGCATACAGAGCGTCAATCGCGCAACAGTCTTCGTTTCTTCGACTGACAGCGCGGTTGTCAATTATGCAGTACCTACCAATAATAATAACTTTTAAAAGTTACTGTAGTAGTGTAGAAACAGGATTTTGTATCATATTTTCACTAAACAAATTGTGTTATCATAGTTCTCATTTAAAAGAGTTATTTTGTACCGTTTTATAATATTCAATTTATATATATAATATGAATCATAAATATAAATTACTAAAGCACAAAATAATCAAATAGCTAACTGTCCTTTTTCTACACATTGCATGCGTAAAAGATGGAAAGAGACCCATTACGTCAGTTTCAAGAAGCTTATATAAACTTCTTGGTCGTTTTCAATTGTTCGAACCACAAGCGATTGAAATGTTTAGGACAAAGAAAGTATACAGTTGCTTTGATTTTAATCTTATTAAAAAAAAAATTTTTTATTTATTCAACGTTAGCAATAACTAACAAAATATTGTTGTACTCGTTTTACGGCTTGGGATTCCCTATCATAAGTCAGAAAATACATTTGCCCGAAATAACGTTAGCTCGAATTTTCATAATGTCAAATATATTTTTTTAGGAAGATTACAAAACAAAAGCTAATTTTGTCTTTGTGAAAAGCATCAAAATTACTCGAAAGAGTAACGGTTTTATTATAAAGCGGTTTTCAGAATTACGGATATTTGAGTTTACGTTTAGTTGGAATATCGGTACATTTCTTATAGTACACGCTTATTTTCACATTTGTAGTAATATTTGTATGTATGTATGTGTGTATCTGCGTAACTCTTTATTATTATCTTTAAGTGAATTTGTACAAAATTAGACATAATAATATACATAAAATTTAATTAATATTTACAAGAAAGGCTACTCCATTACTCTTGTGTTCAAGTAATTTTTAGTCGAAGCTAAATATGGTGCATTTTGTTAAGTTTCCAGTAGAAGCTGAATATGGTGTTTTTGGGCCCTTAAATTGTTGCAAGCAAAATTATTCAGTACTGTAATGACGTTACAATTTAAATTAAATGTTTTAGTTTTTTATATTTCGTTACATGTCACTACGTTTGTATAGGTTAACTTCGGACATTTTTTTCGACCCGATGTCCATTTGTTGGTATGTCAATGCACTTATTGAGATAAACTAATAACGTTAGAATTGCTGAACCAAGAGGGTCAGTTGTAACAGCAATGTGAGTCAATTGTAACATACAAAAACCGTCACCAATAAAAAATAAATAAACAGTCGTTACTACCTCGATTCAAGTTTTTCCTATAAGAATCGATTATATTGCGCGGATCGAGTGGTAGGGACAGTCTTTATTTCAGACTTTTTTATAAACGAAATTAAACTTACTCTTCAAAACTGGAACGCATTAATGCTCACATTACTGCATAGCGCAGAAATTAACTACGCAGTAAACTTTCCTGGACGATGCAAGTGATGTAACTATTAAACTTATGTAATTAACATTAGGTAATAAAATTAGGCATTTTTTCCTTCTCTGTACGGATAGCCTAAGTAGCAGTGCTTCCATAGTATAATACGTGTTTCAGTTTGAAAGTTAAGAAAAGCTGGTACAATACAGAATACTTTTTAACATGCAATAGCTAGAAACACATTGGTGATATTACACTAACATTGGTGCATGTACCTGTTTGCTGAATTGTATACTACAGAAAATAACATCTGGTATCATTAAATTAATCATCTGAATTAAACCGCACTGAAAGAAGACACAAAGACAAATAAGACACAAGGAAAGAATAGGCGTGCGTGCGCGTGGTTGTGATTATGCATGCGCATTTAAACGCAGGTCTGTAATGTCGGCATTAACACAAATGAGAAGCTGTATTGTGCCTGCCTATTGTCACTGCAGCACTGGTGTGTTTACTCGATTTGTTCATACTGCGAATGAGTCTACATTTGGGATAATGATCTCTCTTAATAATTAAGCCATCTGATTTTGAATCATAGAAATATGGCCAAAATAACGCCCTAATTTAGAATTTTACAATATAACGATGTTTACATTAGCACCCAAATTATTTATAAATTACCGGATGCTGTAAAAGAATTCAATTGTAGACAATTTAAAATGAAATTGCATAAAATCTATTAGTCACTCAATGCTACTACGATGTTGATGATGATTTTTGTTATTTATGCCATTATATAAATTTAACTTTCAATGTCCAAATCATCATCAGCCTATCGCAGTCCACTGCTGGACATAGGCCTCCCCAAAGTGGAGGAGGCCGCCCTACACTGCGTTTGCTGGGTCCTGGGTCACGGTCTCCACTCTAGAACACGTTTTCCCCATCGGTTATCGGTTCTTTGACAGATATGGCCAGCCCATTGCCACTTCAGCTTGCTTATCGCACGAGCTATGTCGGTGACCTTGGTTCTCTGTCGGATAACCTCATTACGAATTTTATCGTTCAGAGAAATAACTCACTGAGCGACTTTATATTGGTGGACTAGTCGTATCGTGAATGTCCACGTCTCGGCTCCGTAAATCATAACACGTAGGACGCACTGATTGAAAACGTTTGTTTTCAGATTTTGTGGTATATATCAATGTCGAAAGTGAAATAAGAAATGTGAATAATATTCGCATGCCAGGTTTTGGTGAAACGTACAATCTTATATAATATATTATATACAGGACAAGCAAGTCGTGGGTTTGGTGATAAATGACACACCTGTCCATAGCAGTTCCATTGTAACTCAGAGCTTTCGATGGTAAAGATCTGAGGGGCACTGCCACTGCGCCCGTCACCCTGACACTTACGCTGATAAGTACCACATTCGTGTAATTTCAATAACACCCTTACCCTTCAAAACCGGAACGCAGTAATACTCCCATTACTGCTTGGCGGCAGAAACAGCTAAGGTGGCAGTACTTCTCTGGACGAACTCTTTTACAAGGACCTCTCTAAACCCCTACATTGTTAATTACATTTATGAGCAAATCTTGTATTCTAGGTTTAAATTTAAAAAATGTAAACGGAAAGGGAAAGGTTTATTACTAATTAGATGTTGTTTGTTGTAAAAAATACGATGTAGACACATGAAATTATTGTCATGATATAAATTTATTTAACATTTCCGGAAAATTCCTTTTAAAGACTATTCCAAGCCCGCA